TCCCTTCCAGCTCCCTGCCTGTGGCCTGGGAAAGCAGTAGAGGACAGCCCAAAGCTTGGGGAACCTGCACCCGCGTGGGAGACCCAGAAGAGGCTCCTGGCTTCGGATCGGCATAGTATCAGCCCGTTGCGCTCACTTGGGGAGTGAATCATCGGACGGAAGATCTTCCTCTCTGTATATACGCCTTTCCAATCAAAAAATAATAAAAATAAATCTTTAAAAAAAAATGTATCTGAGAGGCAAAGAGACATACAGAGATAGACAGAAATTTCCCGCTGGTTCACTCACATTCACATCAGCTGGAACTGGGGCAGAGCCAAAACCAGGAGACAGAGACACAAGCCAGATGTCCATACGGGTGGCAGGAACGCGCCGATGAGAGCCATCACCACTACCTTCCAGAGCCCACACTAGCAGGAAGCTGAAGGCAACGGCTGCAGTCAGGTACTCTATAGCAAAACCCAGGCATCCTGATTGGCATCTTAACATCCAGACCCAAAGTCCTCCCCGTGCAAAAAATATGTCAAATCCAGTTTCAGCTTTTTCATAACAGACATTTTCCACAAACTTTCTGAAATACCCTTGTATGGAGCCCTACTAGACTTAACTTCTTTGGCAGTCCTAAATCCGCTCCATAATGCAAAGCTAGCAGTAAGTATTCCTTCTTCTAACTTATAAATTGAGCAACTGATTAAGTTAGGACCTATGACTCAAATATCCTTGTCTAGTTTTATCAATAACCTACTATGAAACCTCTACTTAATGCCTCTCCACCATCATAAGTTTTCTCATTTGTAAAAGTAAGCAGATTAAACCAAATAATGTGCCCCGCTCTCTTCATTTTTGAATTACACAGCCACTTTTCATCTTCCCCAGGTCTGAGACAAGGTATGGAGGAAACTCTGAAGCCTCCCCCAACTCTCCCAGGCAGCTGGATTAGTCACCTGCTCCCTTGGAATTCCCACATATGTATATATTATACCTCCATTTCAGCATCTATAACAAAGTTTTCAGGGAGTGTATAGCTCAGCAGCTGAAGTTCAAGAAAGCAGAATGAGACTGTCCGAGTCCAACACTGGCTCTTCTTACTATCTGTGTAATCTCAGGCAAGTTGTTTAACGTCTTTATGACTTAACTTCCCTACCTATAAAAGGGTGATAATAATATTTATCACACAAGATAATTCTAAGAATTAACTGAAACAAAATGATTAGAATAGCTCCTGCCACAGAGTAAGCATGAGAAAGGTTCACTGTTGCCACTGGATGCCTGTACTTGGGCTACTTATGCTTGCTGCTGGCAACTCTTTCCCTTCACTTTCTGGAAAAGGCACCTGCTGGGTGGTCTGGCCGCTGGACCGGGATGCACCGCCCTCCCAGTGAAGGCAGGAGAGCTAAGGCCAAGCCATAGCCAGTCCAGTGGTAGCAGTTGGACTGCTGCAGAATTTGTAGTCTCTTAGGTGTTCCAAGTCATGAAGCATATGGAACCTCCAGTAAAGCAAGCTTTTCCAAGTCTACCACACACACAGGAAAGCATACGCATGGGGAAAGCCTTCAGTGCTGGCTATTATTCATTCACACAAAATGACAAAGCAAGAAGCAGCATTAAATTAGGTATAAGCCCTACTGCCAGGAAAGGAAAAATAAAAGCACAATCACAAATTACACTCTTAAGTCACCCAAAGTAGAATCTTCTTATATAGTAGCCAAATTCAATAAAGCTAAAGATTTACTAGAAGGTCAAGCTAAAAAATAAAGCATATATATTGCCAATCCATGTTAGCATATATATATGAGCAAATACCTCAGAACTACAATTTTTTTCAAGCTCATTACTATTATTACTATTCATAATAGTTACTACATTAATCTGCCTTATTAGACACCAAGTTTTAGTTTTAACTAGCAATCTATGCCCCTCTCGCTCTCCATCAGAGCACTGTGGGTTTGTTTCCACGGCACTCACCGGAAGGGAATATACTTATTTGCTTATTTTTTCTCTCCCCAGGGAGAGTATAACCTCCATAAGGAAGTTCTCTAAATCCGCATAGGAAGCCTACATGGTACCTGACCCAGGCACTCAAATACTTGCTGAATAAATAGTACATGAGCTGTCACTGTTCTGTGTTTGCTGAATCAATTATCCTAGCTAAGGTTGATTGTCAGAACTGAGGCTTCACAGCAGATGTTGCCCTGGCTGCCCTAGGATTAGCATGTCCCTCTCCCCAAGTCTCCAGTATCAGCTTCAGCCAAACCCCACCCACCTGCTCTTGGTCCCAGCCCAGTTCCGGGAGCCACCCTCAGCTAAAATTAGCATAGCTACCAAGATGGCCAGGCCATTTATAGCCTTGGAGGCAGCAGCAACTAGCTGGGTGGTCAGGAAGGGCTCTAGCCTGCCACTCCATCGGGGGTTGACTGAAAACCGTGTGCACGCTGTTCACTGTCTATATGTCTATCTCCCAGGGCCCTGTGCCAGTTGTACTGAACAAACCACAGTTCCTGATTAGAGACCCTCAATGTCTCCAACACTGGTAGGCACATTTCTAGGCCCACTTGAAGTTCCTCACATGTTCTACAAAAACTCATTATGAGTGTCTGCAGGCAGGTAGTCCAGCAGCTAAGGGAGGTTCCAAGCACCCGTTTCAGGCCAGCTTTAAGCAAGGCAGGCCCTACAACAGCAGAGATCTTTACTAAAAAGTAACTTGGCGAGGCTGAGCGTGCAGGTATTAAGGAGTCAAAAGGTGACAGGAATGGCCTCCCCACTGCCCACAGACGAGCCTCCTAGCACAGCACTTGCCTTTACTGCAAGGTAAGGCACTCAGGACTGCTCAGCATGTGCAGGAGAAAGCCATGCACATTTGAATTAAATCTTAGAATCAAATTCCTTAATGAGCTGAGAGAGAGGTGTTTATATTAAAAAATTTTTAAAAAAGGAAAAAAAAGAAAGAAAGATAGATAGATACAAACCCCTACACTCCTGCAAAACACTGCCAGAGGAGAAAGGGCAGCCCTCTTCTTGGCTCTCAGCTCCAGCGTCAGCAGGGCCTGCCTGGGAGGCTGGGCACAGGAGCCACAGGGGCAACGCCACCTGGGCTGTACAACTCCACAGGAAAAAGTCAGATAGCTCTAGCCATACAACATAAACTGTAGAGAAGACGTAAACTGACCAGGCATGTTGAATCTGATCATAAAAAGCAACAACAAGAAGAGCAAAAAATAAAGAAGTAAAACTCCCGAGTTCTGGGGATACAGAGGTACCACAAAGGCTGCTCGAGTTCCTGCTTGCACAGAAAGTTTCTCTCCAAAGCCTGTTTTGCAGAGGCCAATCTGTCAGCTGCTTCTTTGCAAAAATAAATGCGTGTGAGTCAGAGAAAAAGATGCAAAGAGACTCAAGAGGACAATGTAGCAGAATAATGATAGGGGAACCCCTGAGTTCTCACAAAGCATACCAAATCACAGTACACGGGGTCTGTCCCTCCGTGAGCCTCTCCGCAGTGGAATCCATTATAATAACAGAAACCAATTTATGAACTGAGAGGAGAAAAAGACTGAGAAAGAGAGGCCTCAATCATTGTGGCCCGTCATCTGAAACACTCGCAGGCGCTGTGCAGTTCTGTCTCCCTCAGCTCAAGTCACGGCATGGTCTTGAAGGTGCTGGACCCCTTTTACCTCAGGCACAAGCATGCACACATGCACACACACACATACATTCAAGCTTAAAATCTGAAATGTCATGCTTTTTGCCTTGTGTCTGAAACACAGAATATGTCACCTCATAATGTGTATTTTTTGTTACTCGTATTTTAGAATTAAACACACACACACACATTCCCTTATAAACAGGAATATCCCTGGAATAGCAGAGATGCCCCCTCGGGCACACTTGGCAACTCAGTCTTTGCAATCGCAGGCCAAAGGGAAGCAAGCTTCAGGGCTCAGGAGCCTCCCCTCAGAGAGACTGGATTCAACGCTAAAAGACTGACTATTCCCTCGGAGCAACAGCTCTGAGGCCAATCTTGTATACAGGGAAACCTTGGCCACACTTGGAAACTAGCCCCTTGTGGAACTCACAGCTGACCTGCCTTTCCTTTTCCAACTTGTATCAGCAGGTATCACTGAGCCCAACCCTCCTCGGGGCTCCCTATCCTCAGAGAGCGCTCAGCTAGAAACTCGCCCCCCACTCTGCAAGCCCACGGCTTTGGGCAGGTCAGGGTCAGGATCAACGAGGGAAACAGCAGAAGAGAACTGAGTTCCTTCTAAGCCTTACCTAAAACAGCCTGATTTGAAAAGTGTAACTTTCTTACTGCTCTGTGACAAGGTTCCACCAGAGCGCGGTGGGCGGGGGAGCAGCAGGACGCACCAGAAATACCGTGGAATCTTAACATCATCAGTCGGAAGAAACGGGTCAATGTGTGGTCAGAATCGCATCATGCCTATGTCAAGAAAAGGCCATTTCATTCCCTGGTGGTAAATAAGAATTCCATCTAAGGAGCTGCCTTGCTATCTCAGCGGCCACAGCCGGGAGACAGTTCACCTTAGGGAAGGGAGGGACGCGGGCCGAGCGTTCCCACGGCTTTAGCAAGAGGCGGCACACCTGAACCCCACACTGCCAGGCAACAGGAGGTGGCCAGCTCTGTCTCCCCTCCCCAGCCCCCTCCCCTGGCTACGCTGCACACTGCTGAAACTGGCTGGCTAACGGCAAAGGACTCCTCATCCGGCTAGGCCATGCTTCCACACAAGTCGTCCTGAGCCGGGACCTCCCTCGCCTTGCGGCTCTCAAAGGTCAAAGTGCCCCTAAAGACATCTTAAGAAGGAATGAGGGGGGAGTTGTTCAGCAGAGATGGAGGCATTCGCCAAGACTCTCCACCACAAACAACTTCTTGGCCTACTGGGAACAGGCAGTGCCATGTGCAGATACTCTGCCAATTTCTCCCATCCAAACTTGGCTTCCAAGTTGCCCACTTCGGGGCGGCACGATCGGTCGGGTCAGGCCAGCCTTACCTGCTGCAGTGGACTCCTCCGAAGGCGCCCCGGGACCGGCTCCCGTCGCCTTTTCGCTGTGACTGTGGCTGAGGCTCTGGCCCTGATGCACCAGGAGCCCCCAGAGGAGCCACAGGGCCAGACGGGCGCTCACATCCATGACTCGAGGTCTCAGTCAAACATGCGCCTATGACAGTACACCTTGGGATCCCGGAGGCAAAAAGCCGCGAGTCCGGGAGAGCAGCCGATCTCCAGGCAGGATGCCCTCGCCACCTCGTCGCAGCTGCCCCAGCCACCTGCAGACCTGCCTCCTCCTCCTCCGACAGCCAAAAGGTCAAGTGCTCCAAGTTTGGATGCGGGGAGAAGGGCCGGCGTCTCGGGGTCCAACCGGTGGGTCCGCCGAGGCAGCGGTGGCGGCCTGAGCGCGGGCCGCTTCCGGAGAGTTTGGGCAAGGGTGGCTGCGGGGGCCGCTGTCAGCTCCGCAGCCTGCTACACCCCTGCAGGAGGGGGCGGGCGGGAACTCCCACGGTCACAGGAGTCGGGGGAGGGAGAGGAGAGCAGGGAGGAGAGAAACAGAAGGCGGAGGACACCTGACCTCGCCCCGCCGAGCAGCGAGGGACACCAGCGCGCCCCGAGGACGTGCGACTCGCAGGGCCGCCCCCGGACGCGCGAGCCTCTCCAGGATCCTAAGGCCTTCTAGGCTGAGGTCAGCGCCCTCGGCCAGCCCGGTGCCCAGGCGGCGGCCGGCGGAGCCCTGGTCCAGCAGGCGGGCGCGCACGGGCCAGGCCCGGGACAGCGGCTCCCTGCGGGCGGGCGGGCGGGCGGCGCGGGGCGGACCCGGGGCAGGCGGAGGCGTGCTCTCCCGCGGGCCCGCCCCACGCCGCCCGGGCCCGCCCCAGGGCCCTGGGGTTAGCCCGGAATAACCTGTTGGGGCGCCCACCCCACCGCCCCGTCCCCGGCGGGCTCTGCCGGCGTCCCCCGGTCCGCCCTGGTTCTTGGCCAGGACGCCCCTCCTGCGCCAACGGTCAGGCCCGGGCCTCTCCTCCGCGCCCCGGGGTGGCCCGCGCAGCCACCGGCCGGCGGACGGGCCCCTGACACGCAGTTGCTCAGGTAACCCAGGCCTGCGGCGGCGGCGGCGGCGGCAGCTGCCCTGCCCTTCCTTCCGGGCCGCGGCGCTGCTTTCCTCGCCTTCAGCTCTAAAACTAGGCTGGACAGAGGCTTCCCCCTCCCGCCCCCCGCACCCCCGGGACCGCCGCAGCCGCCTCAGGCCACAACGGTCCAGCCGGGTCCGCTCCGGGGGATGCGCTCCCAGCCCCCCACGCCCGGCGCTCGGACTCCGCCCTCCTGCCGCGCCTCGCAGCCAATCGCTCGTCGCCTCCCTGCGAGTTGAGGAACTCGCGCGCGCTTCGTCGCCCGCGCGCAGCGGCCCCTGGTGGGCACAGCTGGGGACTGCAGACACGACGAGCTCCTGTCAGGCCCTGCCTCTGGGCAAAGACGGTTAGGGAACAGAGTGAGGATCCGCCCCACAGGGGAGGCCCACTGGGGCCTGCGCCGTGTCTTTCAGAGGAAACGAGGCCGGAAAATAGAATGAAACGTGCAGAAACTCTAAGAAACATTTTCCTGCCGTCCCTTCTTAATGTCTGAACCAAAAGACACCATCGGCCTTCCTGTTCCCTCCCAGTCGGGGCCATTGCCGCCCCAAGCTCTGTCTCTCTGGGTTCTCATGGCGCTTTGTGCTACCTGCCCCTCAATTCCCTTTCCCTTGAAATGTGTGCAGGTTGAGCCTGTGTCTGCATCTTGCTGTGTGGAAGCAGGAGTCAGCAGCGCCTTGAGAACCGATCAAGAGAAAGCCGCCCTGAGCGAGCTTATGCCACAAAGCCTGCACTTCCTGTTCTCTTCTCAGGCACGCAGCAGCCGTCAGCAAATCTTGACAGAAACCTCCTCCTCCAAGCCCTACCCTGTCCTTGGCATCAGAGACAGGGGACCTGCTCTGAACAAGCCCTTTGAAGCCCGGGGACGCGAATTTGCCTAACAGCTGCCTGGCTTAAGAGTTAGCCTGTTGATATAAAAATACACGTCTCACGTCATACCACTCCCTTCCCCCTTCTCCCCTCAAACTGACCTTTAAGTTCCCCAAACCCTAACTGTAAGGCACCTGGAAACCCCGGGCATCTGCTGTTGCTACAGCCTGAAACCCTCTTCCCAGTCCCCAGCCCTTGATACTTGGGGAGCTGATGAGAGTCTCCCCCTTTGAAATCCCTGCTCTGACTGCTGCCTGGAAATCAGCCTATAGCCAGAGCTGACCCATGCTGACCAGGCTACTCATGCTGCCCTGCCCCTGTCGATTGCGAGCCTGAATTTTCAGAGGCTATGCCTTGTTTATCTCCATGACACTGGGAAACTGCCTCCTTACCAAAAAGCCGGCTGATAGAATTAACAGGATTGTTCAAAAACTTTTTTTTTTAAAGATTTATTTTTATTATTTTTTCATTGGAAAGGCGGATATACAGAGAGAGGAGAGACAGAGAGGAAGATCTTCCGTCCGATGATTCACTCCCCAAGTGAGCGCAACGGGCCGATACTATGCCGATCCGAAGCCAGGAGCCTCTTCTGGGTCTCCCACGCGGGTGCAGGTTCCCAAAGCTTTTGGGCCGTCCTCGACTGCTTTCCCAGGCCACAGGCAGGGAGCTGGAAGGGAAGCGGGGCTGCCGGGATTAGAACCGGCGCCCATATGGGATCCCGGGCGTGCTAGGCGAGGACCTTTAACCACTTGCGCCACCGCTCCGGGCCCTCAAAAACTTTTTTTTAAGATTTACTTTTATTTATGTGAAAGGCAAAGCTACACAGAGAGAAAGGGATCTTCCATCTACTGGCTAACTCCTGTAATGGCCCCATGGACAGGAGCTGGGTGTTTCCAAGCCAGAAGAAGCCTGGAGCTTCTTCCAAGTCTTCCCACATGGTTGCCCTTAAGCCGTTCTCTACTGCTTTCCCAGGCACCATAGCAGGAGTTGGATCAAAAGTGGAACTGTTGTGGACATTTGGTGAGTGAACTAGCAGATGAAAGGTCTGAATGCTACTGTGCCCTTAAAATAAAAAAATATATTTTCAATCAGAAAAAAAATTTGTTGTTGTTGATATTTAAGAGACAAAAAACTTGCATCTGCTGGTTGACTCCTCAAATTCCTGCAATGACAAGGACTGGGCCAGGCTGATAGGAGGAGCCAAGAACTCAAGCAGAGGTCGCCTCCCAGGGATCTCAGCAGCAGGAAGCTGGAGAGAAGAGCTGACGCAAGAGGTCAAACCTAGGGAATCCCAGCAGTCTAAATGTTCACTGTGGAACCCCTAGGCCCAGCACCCACTCCTCTGGAGCAGCAACAGGGTGCTAGAAAATGAGTCAGCACAGAAGCCAGACACCCTAGAATCCAGTTTTAACTCAAATGACAAAAAGGCAGGTAAATAATATGATTGAGGGAGGTAGCGGGAGTAACAGGAACCGTGGACCGCAGAGCCGACAGGCAAGGACGCTCAGCGTGGCAGACTGCAGCAGAAGGTGGGGATTTGCATGTGGATCTAACAGATCCTTTTATAGTATTGGCCCTAATTTGAAGAACTACAAGTCTCTGTATAAGCCGAATAAAACACATCTGCAGTCCGAATGAATCACTCAAACCGCCAGTTTGTCATTACTGCCTAAGCCAACTGCCAGTGCTCTCCGTTGGTTAAGAGAACATGCAAGAAAAGAGCAAAGCGTGATCAGCACAACTTCCTTCAGGTCTGATAACATCGGTTCTCTAATTCACCACACGACTGCACTGGGGGTAGGGGTGTAAAACATATTTGGTACAAAAATAAAAAGCCTGGGTCTTCGATGCAGAAAGCCAGAGCCTGTTCCAGTTCACACTGTGACCTTCAACCTCTTACTCCTAGTCTCATTTCCTGTGAGGTTACAATGGTATCTGGAAACTAAAAATAGCATTACCATATGATCCAGAAATTCCACTTCTGGGCAAATACCTAAAAGAAAGAAAAGCAGGGTCTCAAATATTTATACACCCATGTTTATGGTAGCATGATTCAACAGTCAAAAAGCTATAAGCAAGTATTCATGATAAATTAATGGATAAACAAAATATATTTATTCTATATATACACAAAGGGATACCAGAAGTCTTAAAAAGGAAGAAAATTCTGAGACATGCTATGATACGGATGAACAATAAAGACAAATATGCTAAGTGAAATAAACACAAAAGGAAAAATATGAATTGCACTTACATGCTGTACTAGAGCAGTCAAATTCTCAGAGACAGGAATATGATGGTGGTTGCCAACAGATGGAGAAAAGGCTGAGGAGGAAGTTGTTTGATAAGTATAGTTTCAGTTTTATGTCGAAATGAGTTCAGAAAATTGCACAGCAGTATTAATGTGCTTCGCATAGCTGAACCATTTGACTAAAAATTGTCAAAGTAAAAAAAAAATTGTCGTAGTGATAAAATGTATGTATGTTTTGCCACAATTAAAAGTAAAGAACGGGGCTAGCATGGTGGCTCAACAGGCAAATCCTCCACCTGCAAATACCAGCATTCCATATGGGCACCAGACCATGTCCCAGCCTTTCCACTTCCCATCCAGTTCTCTGCTTATGGCCCAAAGCCTTGAAACTCTGCACTCCTGTTGGAGAACCAGAAGAAGTTCCTGGATTCTGGCTTTGGATTGGCTTAGCTCCAGCTATTACTACCAATGGGTAGTAAATACGCAGATGGGAGATCTTTCTCTCATCTCCGTAAATCTGCCTTTTCAGTCAAAATAAATAAATCCTTTAAAAAAAAAAAAGTAAAGGCTATTTGGGTTAGAGGTTGGACAGAGCAGTTAAAGATGCCACTTCAAATATTCATATCAAAATGCTTGGTTTGAGTCCAGCTCCTTAGTTTCCCATCTACTTTCCTGCTAATGCATGCTCCACGTTAGGATGCAATGGGGGCACCCCATACAGATGCCAGTTCGCGTCCTGGTTGTTCTGCTTCCAGTTTACCTCTCTGGTCGTGATCCTGGGAAAGCAGCAGAGAATGGCTTATGTGCTTGGGTCCCTATGGCAGACTGGATGGCCTGGGTCAGCACTTGGAGAATAAACAGTCAAAAGGTCTCTCTCTCTCTCCCTCTCTCTGTAACTCTGTCAAACAAAATAAGCAAATAATAATAATAATAATAAGATAACAATGCCTACTGCAGGAAGGCAGCAGATGGTAAGTGGAGTACTTTTGTCCCTGCTACCATATAAGAATCCTGAACTGAATCCTGGTCTTCTGACTTGAGCCTAACCTAGCCCTGGCTGTTACAGGCAGTTGGTGAGGAAATGGACAGATGGAACAATCCTTCACTCTTGCTCTCCTCTCTCTCTCTTTCTGCCTTTCAAATAAAATTAAAATAAATACTAAATATAAGGGAAGGAATCTGGGAGTCATGACTTATCAGTATACAAGGAATGACATTAGAGATTTCAGTTCCCCTGGATTCTCAGTCTACTCAACTATCCAATTAGCACTGATCAGATTACTGATCTAGTTCAGCTTTCGTATTCTACAAGATGTGAAAAATCCTGAAATCTCATTAATCTTTCTTAGTTCTGTGACTCTCATCTCAATAGCCCCTATGATGTACTCTCATATGACTTCTGTAGTAATCCATTATAAGTATCTATATTAAGCCACTATGTTAAAAAAAAAAAAAGTTAAGAGATAGCTAGTGGCACAAAGCATTTATGCTGTCAGCAACAGTCATCAGCATCACATACTGACTGCTGGTTAGAATCCT